GGGGGGGGGGGGTGGCGGCGGAGAGGGTGGCGGCGGAGAGGGAGGCGCCGGGGAGGCTACCAGAGAGTTGAGGGAGAGGAGTGCGTCCTCAAGCCGGCGGCAGCCGCACCTGCTGCCAGTTCGACGCGCCGGCGGCGCCGTCTGGGCAGGCGAGGCCGTGCGCGTCCAAGGCATAGAGCGGCAGCAGCGCCTACTCACACCGCCGCGTGCGTCAATCGCGCCCCCCTCCCCCACACCCGGTGCGGCAGGGCGGCCCGCAGCGCCGAGAGACAGAGCCGCCGCCAACGCAGCTGCTGAAGCTTGTCCAGACGCAAGACAGCCCAGCCGGCGTTCCCCGCCCCGCCCCCGTCCGCCAGCCAGAGGCGCAGCCGGCCGCCTTGTGCCGAGAGCCTCTCGTTGACGAGCGCCCAGAACGGGGACGTGGCCTCACCGCCCGCCGCACCGCCTCCGCCTCCGCCTCCGCCGCCCACCCCTCCGCCTCCGCCCCCTCCCCCCCGGTCCATCACCTGCTGCACGCGCAGCCACAGGGCGAGCAGCGGCCGCTCGACGCAGGAGCCGCTCCGAAGGGGCGCCTCCTCTCGCGGCGGCTGCGCGACGGTGCAAGCGGGCGGCAGCTCGCACCCCCCCCGGAGCTGCAGCAGCAGTGGGAGCAGCTCGTCGACCACCTGCTCACGCCGCGAGGCTGCTGATCGGACGCCGTTCACAGCTCCAGACAGAGGCGGAGGGGGGATGGGAAAGGGGGGGTAAAGGCACCTCGCCGCTGTACTCGCGCACGTGCGCCGCACCGCCAGCAGAGCCGCAGAGCCGAGCCAGCCAGCCGAGGACGAGCCACCTGCCCACAGCCGCCTCCGTGAAGAGACGCCGCCCACAGGCCAACGGAATCGGCAGCGGGCGAGAGCCACCGGATCTGCAGGTGGCGCCATCCTGCCCCGCCGCCGCCGCCGACGGCGTCATCGCCGCCGCTGCCGCTCCAGACAGCGCGCGAGTCGGCGGGCAATGCGCTCGCCGACAGCAGCGTCGGGAGCAGGGCCGGGAAGCGCCGCGCCTCCTCTCTCACCGCGCGAGAGACACCCTCGCAGCCCTCTGGCGGCAGCCGAGCCGCAGCCGTCTCCACCGCGAGGTGCACGCGCCGCAAGCAGCGGTCGCTCGCCTCGGCGGCCGCCTCCCGCGCCGCCGCCGCCATCGCCTCCGAGAAATCGGCCGCCGCCGCAGCGCGCTGCGCACTCGCCGCCGCCTCGTCTCCCTCCGCACCACCGCGCTGCCCACTGCGCTGCGCTCCCTCTCCAACAGCGCCGCCGCCTCCGCCGCCTCCGCCTCCGCCTCCGCCGCCCGCCCCTCCGCCTCCAGACAGCTCTGCCACTGGCGTCGCGAGGAGGAGCTGCTCGCGGCTCTCCTGGGCAGAGGCTGAGGGACGGCTCAAGACGGGGCGAGGGACGGCTCGAAAGAGCGCTGCCCGC